GGTGCAGTAAGGGTGCAGTAACGGTGCAGTAACGGTGCAGTAACGGTGCAGTAAGGGTGCAGTAACGGTGCAGTAACGGTGCAGTAACGGTGCAGTAAGGGTGCAGTAACGGTGCCTTCTGCACACGGCGCGTACCTGGCGCTGCTGCCGCCCGGAGACTCCGCCCCCAGCCTACATTGCTCCAGCTGGCTGGCCACAATCTGGCGTTCCGCCTCCAGCTCCCTGGTCAGCCGCTCAAACTGGAGCTCCTACATCAAGAGAGGAGGGGAAAAAAAGAGAGAGAGAGAGAGAGTCACCCCTAACTGTGACCCAGAGAGGCAGGGTGAGGTTTAAAAATACAGCACAACAGAAGCCGATCAGGTGGCAAGATGGTACTGCTAACAGCACATTGATAAAATATGCATAGAAGAAGGAAAAAAAAAAAACGATCGCAAGAGCAGTAAAACTTGTATCACTTTTCTAATTTGTCATAGTTTTGAAAAATAATACTCCTCATGAAGACTGAGGCTACAGACGCTGACCTTGTCCAGCTGTGCCCAGGATTAGAGGCCACACAAGTTTAGCTTAGTCTAGCCTAGGTGCCACGCTACAGAAAGTCCCCCCCCCAGATTGCTCAATGTGACTCAGGGGCATCTCTAGGGCTATTTTATGGGGACTTTAGCCCCTCCCCCAATAAATATACACCAATTAGTTTAAATAGTGTGGTGTCTTTCATTTACACGAAAATCAGACCCCCCTAAGCTCTTATTTTCATGAATCTCCAGTGATGCTCTTGATGTGACCCAAACATCGCCACCTCCTGGCCACTTATCAGGTCCTGTGGCTGTATGAACCCAGGGGTTGGTGGGTGGGGGCGGAGTTATCACATGTGCTGACCCCCTCGCCCTCCCCCCGATGGCGAGGCACGATCATATTGCCCAGCAGCACTCAGGCTGAATAAGCCGCCCCCCCCCCCATACTGGCTTCAGCAGCGACCAGATGAGGGGAACCTGCAGAACCAGCACTCCCCTCCCACGGCGCTGAAGAAGCGGGGGCTCATTATTTACCGAAGTCTCACGCAAACCGGAAAGCAGCACATCGCTACATTTCAATCTCCCCAGCTGAGCAAAACCCCCCCCCCTCCATCTCCTCCGGTGTCCCAGCAATCGGACTTCAAGTCATTTTCCGTCACTCCAAATTAAACTTACCTATCCCGCTACACAGGCCCTGACAAGGTTTACATCGCGCGCGCGATCGATTCACAGCTTAGACGCTGCTTCTTGGAAAATGCTCTTGTAGCTCGAGTGCTTGAGTTTCTCAGGAGAGGGGGGAAAAAAAAATAATTATGATGACAGGGCAGGTTTCTTTCCCGCTATAAATTTGACTACAGAGGGAACACCTTTCCTTTTAGGAGACAGGTTCATTTTCCCAAAGTCACACTCTTTTAAGTCATTATGCTGAACCACGGAATATTAAAGGGACGCGTCACAAGCAGTTTCACGCCAGCAAAAAAGCTGCATGATAAATGTCGAACCCCTGCAGGGTTGAGAAATGTAATTCTGTAGTCGACTGTGATCCTTGGGATATGAGGACAGACAGAGTTACACGACGTGATAGGGAGGCATTATGGTCTAGAGGGTAACACTACAGCCTCTTACCACCAGGTTTTTGGTTCAAATCCCATACACTACCCCTGTTTAGATGGGCCTGTTAGGGGCTGGAGGGTCCTCAAGTCACTGCTATAGTCATTTACATTGAATTAAATGGGTTCAGCAGAAGCTTTTATCCCAAGTGACATACTACTGAGAAACCAGGGTCAGAAAGTCCCTAGAACACCTAGGAGTTAAAGGTCTTGGTCACGGGCCCAACTATGACATCACTCTGCCGAGGATTTGAGCTGGTGACCTTCTGATAATAGGCACAATGTCCTAACCTGCTGAGCAACACGGTTCCAAAGCAGGCAGGCTAACTTCTCTTGCAAGTGTGAGCTCTGTGATGGCCTGGCAGCCCATCCACCTCTCTCCTAATACATGCCCAAAGCTTCCTGGGCTAATCTAGAGGCTCACCGTGACCCTCTGTTGGATAAGCAGTCGCCGAAGCCGGACGGCTGCCAGCGTGTCCCGATAAACAGGAACAAAATGGAGAACAAACAGCATCCGCGATGCACAGAGTGCCGCAGAAGCATGGGAGAACCGCTGCCAGCACAATGGAGAAGTAGGCCGCCGGTTAACATGGAAATGCTCCGGGAACAAGGAAGTGGGAACGCAGGCACATGTCGAATCCGACGGGACACAGCCGGAATCAAACGAAAACAATTTCACGCTGAGTAAACGGGACCAAGATGACGGAAAGAGCTCAGCTTGCCTTCGATACAAATATAGATACGGGCAATGGAGCTCTCTACGGAAGAATCTCCCCCAGAGCAGATGAAAAGCATGCTGGGAAATTACTTCAATTCCCAGCCCTCATCTGATTGGTCAGGATTAAATCAGCATCCCTCACAGGACCTCCCAGGGATCCACCAAGTAAACACTGACAGTCAGACAAGAGAGACGTTTACAATGTCATCACTCAGTATTAATGTCGGGCAACCAAATATAGAAACAGGCCCATAAGACAAGCCACAATCAGCAGCATCGGAAAATACAGAAATTCTCTTGACTTTAGAGCACATCCTCATTTATAAGTCTGTCATTCAGCTCCCTGACTGTCTAAGGGTATCAAACACGGACATCCAAATGAGTTCTGATGTTGCTCTGATGATGTTGCCAAATCAAAAGTTTAATGACATTTGCACACTTCAGCATAATACGCCAAGAATATGGCATCTGCTTTATCTATCAGTCAAGATTCAGGCACCTACTGCTGCTACAGAAAGCAATGATGATGATGATGGTAATGATGATGATGATGATGATAATGAAGAGCATGGTGCCATGTTCCCATAAGTCTTCAGGGGCTGGAGGCGTCCCCGCTGGTGCCACACAAAGATGGCAACCCAGTATGTTTCAGTGGGGCAGCATGCTATGTGAGCACATCAAAACAGCGTCATAAATTGCTGTCTCGCTGCGATGAACACCCATCAGTATGGCACCAGTTGCGGTGGGGGGGCAGGGAATTAAAGCACACATTAGATCATTACTCCTGCTTGTTTGCTCTGCATCTATGAGTAATTTGGTGCACCTTCAAAAGAACGTGTCAAGTGTGAAACACAGAGCATTTCCCAAGGCCACCAAGTCGCTGAATTGGGTTGTATCACAGCAACATTCACTGCTGTAGCATAGTGTTCATTTTTAACCCAATGCTAAGGAGCCTGGTACATCTCAAGTGCCCCCCCCCACCCCATCCACAGCAGGAGGATGGGCCAAACGGCAGCCCATACCAAGAATATGGTCCTTCCAGCCTCCAGATCAGCGCCCCCTGGTGTTGGTCAGCCAGTCACATTTCCCTCTGCATCAGTGCTTATAAATCCAATCCCACTACGCTGCAGGTAGAGGTCATACGTTTGACACCCCTGGCATATATTTATCAGGTTAATCTTCCATTTCTGCAACACGCCACAATCCCAAAGGTGTGGAGGACCCTGCAGTTTGTGGAGATCTGCAGAGGCTTCACAGCACACACCGGAACAGACACCACACGGGCGAACCTCGGCAAATTGAAATGGAACGATTAAACAAGACCAACATCAAGCATCGGGTCACCTAGGGACATCGGAAGGGTGGCTGTTCACCCACGCAAAAGGAGATATCAGGAGGTTTTCCTGCCAGATGTAGCCATCTTGAGAAGAATTGTTCATTACCAAGCCTGTGAGAGGCTATTAATTCCACAGAATGTGTGTGCGTGAGGGAGAAAGCAAAATCATCTGTGGTTTATTCAACTGCAACAACTGCAACCACTCATGCCATACTTCCTTGGAATGGATCCCACTGCAAACATCTCTGTACTGGTGAAACCAATTTGGGTGTGTGGGGGGGGGTTGCATGATTAATAATTAGCCTCAGTGTCAGGAAGCGTGCCCAGCCGTTACCCAAAGCCAAAGATTTCCTTTGCCACCAGCAGCTGCAAGTGGATAGAGACAGCCGTCGAAAACATGCCACGCCCCCTGTGCCTGCTTCCTCAACAGAGAATACGAGACGGTGCTAAGGCCGAGTACCACCAGCATACTGCGCACACACCCCCTACTGCATCACTGATAGGACAAAAGCGGGCCTCTCAAAATCTGGCCAATCAGAGACAGCAGCAGATGACTGGAATGCACCATTATTCATTTTCACAGGGGAGCAGGGTGCCATGCATTTGTGAGGACGGCAAACACATGGCTCCATTGTTTCTTTGTGCTGTACACTTGTTCTTATCTATTAAGACTAGATGGTAAAGTAGCTGTTCAGGGCGGAAATGGGCAAAATGAGGTTTGATCCACCTGCTGGGCTGGAATATCTTGAGCTGACAATTACAGGCTGGTTTAAATAGTTTCCCAGTTGTTGCTGTAATGATTCCCGACGGGGTCATCCTGGCAGAAATTCGACAGTGTATGAAAATCCCAGCCACAAAGCAATACAAAGCTTCCACTTTTCATTAAAACATCTACCTATGCAAATTGGCAAATTGTTTTGGAAAAGACAGACATCTCAGTCATGTCACTGTCTGAAATGAGCAGCTCTGGGCATGTTTCTTGTCATTCGGAGCTTCTGAGTATGTTAAGCTTGAAGAGAATAATCTGGAAGAGCATCTAAACAAAGACCACATGACATCCAATCACAGAGATTGATCTATGAGACGATGAGCTACACCAATCAGAGACAGCCTTCCATCCTGTCCCATAGAGCCTGCAGGCAAAACTTAACTGGGAACAAAAGGACGTCCTTCTAAACATTGTCCTTCAAAAAAAAAGCAGAACCATCTTCTGTTTTAATTAGGATGAGATTTCACTGCACATTTTCGTGCACGCTGCTTTCAGAGACATCAGCGGCCCCTGACAGAGCAGTAATAGTACAAGTCTCACAAAATGTGCACCAATTTGACGCGGCGACTGGAACCATTTTCATTAAGACTGACTGTATTTTTAATGAAAATGTATTTATTAATAAGCAGAGGGTAATGAGGCTCGACATAAAAACAGCATTACGACTCTGTTTATGTTACCCATTATGATTCTTCCAGAAAAGACGGAAAAAGAGCGCATGTAAAAGACGGCAGGATTATGGTGAAATGGCAGGAGGCTGTCCCCTCATTTACAAAAACACCTTCATCTCCTTGTTACTGTTAG